ATTCTGGTGCCTCTACTCCCGGCTCTAGCACTGGGTGAGCAACCCCTGCTCTCCCGTCCTTCTGAACAGTACAAGGCTACATTTTGGTTTGGCAAGGGGGGCAAGCACTTGCTGCGGAGGTCAGTGACAAACCGGAGGCAACATTCACAAAAGACGCTGGACTGAAGCCCAAATCCCCAGGAGCAGACAACTGAGCATGGCCCCACCCTCCCCCAGCTGGGGACCCTTACCTGCCCATTGGCCAAGCCTTCGAAGCCGTCATTCACCACATAAACCGTGTGCCCCTTGCAAATGCCTATGCGGACCGCTGACCTGACAGCAGCATTCATCCCAGCCGCCGGGGCACCCACATTTAGGATTGCCAGGGTGAACGGGCTCTGTGGGGAGAGAGGGCAGAAAGAGAGCAGAGCCATCAGTTTGTAGAGCTTGGGGCCAGGAGAGAACTGCTGTTGTCCCCAGTGTCAGGAGCATGGATGGAGCAGACCTCAGCCCACCAACTCTCTGCCTCATTGGCTAGAAGAGCTCTGGAGGGTCACAGGTTCCTGCGGCCTGCGATTCTGGTTGGATCAGTCCTTTTATTTAAGGGGCTGGGGAAATGGCGTCCCAAGTGTCTCCCTTGCAGCTCCTGAAGCAGCTGGGCTCTGAGCCAGGACTGCATAGAGCCTGTCAGCCTCACTTTGCCACAGCTCTCACCTGTTTCCCCTCCCAGCTGCCTTTGGCATCCAAGGAGGGAGGCTGAGAGAAACTTTGGTTACTCCACCACCTGCTTTCTGTCTGTGCCTGGGGGGGGCCTTACTACAGGACAGCATTTCTTCCTCACACAGCCCCTGCAACAGTAGCAAGCCAGAGCTCTGGCCACAGCTCCATCTTCCCATGCCGTCAGATCTCTCTTGCTAACAGCAACAGAGATTTCATTCCAAACAACTCAATCTAAAATGCCAATGTGGTGCCCAGGAGAGCCCAGATCTGTGCATGCTCGGGCAGCATCTCAGTGTGCAGACAAGTATAAGCATTCCAGAAAACGGGAGGGACCACGTACACGTGTGCCTGTGCACACCTGCCCACATCTTTTACAAGGCCAAGATCTCGCTGCATGATACTGGTAAGCCCAAGCTGTGCTTCCCCTTCTTTCCAGTCCTCTTACCTTCCGCTGGGCTGGCTTCTGGTGCGCTAGGAGCTTGTAAATGTTCCAGTTATTTTCAAAGCTCCTACAAAGAAAACCAAACTCAGTCACTCTTGCATCAAAGCCCCACTGAGTCAGTGACCAGTCCCAAGGCAGGAGGGCATAAATTTAAACAGGCAGAGGGGACAGGGTCATATGCCTCAGACAACAGCTCCCATTTGCTGAGCTATATAAACTGCCAAGTGGGGAGACCCAATGATCTCTCTGGGGCTTGCTGAGGCAGAGGCACAAGACGAGGGACAGGCTGGCCTTTTCCAGCAGGGAGGGACATGAATCCTCCTGGAGAAGAGAAGATTGCTCAGGCCAGAGGGTCACATACCAAGAGCTCTTTAATGAGCATGATTCTCCTCAGTAAGATCTCCTCCTCATACTCTGGTGCTCTCTCAAGTCCAGCATGAGGCCGGGACTCTCCTGCTTCCCAGAATCTACTCCCTCGTCTCCTTAGCAAACAAGGACACAGCTGGGGCCAGGCCCCTAAGCTGAGATAAATCAGCATAGATCCATCGACTTCAGTAGAGCTATGTCAATGTAGTGAAGCTGAACACTTAAAGGTCAGAGGTTCCTGGCTAGAGGGTCTTGCCCCTCCACTCAGAGTCAGACCAATGCCATTTCTGGGGATTTTACCCCATGGTCAATTTGGTATGGACTGAGGGAGTTTTGCCTTCCTCTGTAGAGGTGGCATGGCCCTTTTCCCGTGATTTCTTGAATTAATATTAACAACGTTTTACAGAAAAAGGCCACTGGCTGCCCTGGTCTCTCTGCTTTCCCTGTGGGAGGTTCGGGAGTTATGTCTTGTGTCTTGTCAGGGTTGACAGCAGTTTTACAAAGAGTTTAGATCAGGGGTGGGGAAAAATATGGCCCATGGGCTTGATATGGCAGCGAAGGGATTTTATTTGGCCTGCAGCAGGTCCCTCAGTCCCCTCTGGCCCAAGCGCAGTCCAGCCCATGGTGCAGCCTGCCACCCGTAAGCATGCAGTGGGGCTGGCGCGGCTGGACCCTTGTTTCTTGGCAGCCCTAGCAGCTGCTCCTTTGGCTGCCGCAGCCATCAGCTCTGGCCCTGGCCCAAGCCCACTCTGTGCAGGAGGTCAGGGTTCCTGCACTGCCTGCTTCAGACTGGCTTGTCCTAGCCACGATAAGCAGCAGTGGCAGTGGCTGGACAGAAGCTGCTGCTGGGTGCCGAGGAAACACAGGACCTGGCAGTGGGCATAACTGCTTCCCCTTCACCGCTGACCGGAGCCTGTGCTGGGGCTGCCCTGCAGCTCCTTCCTGCTGCAGCCAGTATCACCTCCAGGCCACCACAGGCCCTGCACCTGGTGCAGCAGCAGGGAGGAACCACAGGGCAGCCCCAGCATGGGCGCCAGGTGGCCACAGCAAGAAGGGTCCCAGCAGTGGTGAGGGGAAGGTGGCTGTGCCCACTGCCAGGTCCTGCTTTTTCTTGGTGCCCAGCAGCAGCTTCCACCCAGTCGCCACCACCTCCATGCCTGGGTAGCCGCTGCCAAACCTGGGCAGCAGCTCCAGTCCCTCCATCGGGCATAAGGACAGGTCAGAGGTGGCGGCCTTGGCTGAGCTACCCCTGTTGAAGCTGATGCCCACCTGTGCCCATGCCAGCTCCCCACCTGCCTGCAGCCCCATCCCACACAAGAAGTTTTGGTGACCTGTTGTGCAGGGGGATTGAGGTGGGGGGTGGAGCTGACACCTGTGACAGCTCTGCAAAACTCCCCCAGCTCCAGCCTCTGGCCCCAGCCCCCAGCCCTCAGCTCCAGCCTCCAGCGCCAACCCCCGGCTCTGGTTCCCAGCTCCCAGCCACTGGCCCCTAGCCCCAACCTCTCTGCTCCAGCCCCCGGCCTCCAGCGGTAAGCATCCCACGTGGTACCAAGGCAGAGCACTCACGGACTGTTACTCTTCAGAGGAAACATTGCTTCCTTGTATCCCCACACAGCACAGCAAATTTCAGGGTAATCTGAGTCAGCTTGTGGGTTTTAAAGCACTCCCTTTTAGATAGGAAGCAACACTCATGCTTACTTCTAATAGAGCTGCTGCTCTTACCTGCCCCGGAGCTGGATTGCTTCTTCAAACCGCTTCTCATCCATTGCTTTCTGAACATCTTTTGTCTTTAAAATAATTGTGAGGTTAGAGGGAAAAAAAAAGTCCCAGTAAATTCAACAGAAATGAGCAAAAGCACCAAGACAGAGTTAAAAATTAAATGCATGCTTGGCCTATTCCCTGACCCTAATGGTCAAGCCCAGCTCCAGCAGCAACAGAAAGGGTGGGCTAGGATTTTAAACCTATAGGGGCCCCCAAATGCATTTTTCCCTCACTTGTGAGTTGCTATCCCGCCCCAAAGGAAATCACTGAACAAAACAGAAAAGTGGAATTTGCTTACCTAGATCCTTTCCCCTCTCCACAACACCCACCCACACATACTTAAGCTTTCAGGTACTTACCACTTGAACACACTCCATGAGAGGCAGCCGGACAGATTGGTTCCCAGAAAGACTCACCACGCAGGCAGGGGTGTCAGGTGTTGCCTCCACCAGCGCCATGACAGCTTCCATCCCCATCTTGCTGCTCTGTGAAGGCGACAAGAACCCAGTTGAGAGGGTGGCTTCATCAGTGCAAACACACCCTTGTCACGTGCTGCACCAAAGGACTTAAGCCCCCGTGTGACAGGCAGACACACTGGTGGAGGTCCTGCCCAGGTGTTCAGGCGAGCAACTGAACTATTGGTGCAAAACACCATGAGGGCATGTAGACACAAAAGCACACACACATGAAGCACTGAGGAAGACTGGGCTGGTGGGGCACAAACATACCATCACTAAAAGATCCCTCAGACTAACACTTCCACTCTCCAGGGAAGCACCCCTAGGACAGTGCACACACCCAACAGAGGCACAGAGAGAGGCCTGGTCTGTAGTACCTCCAGGGGAAGGCCCTGCATTCCCACTTGTTAAAATGAGTATACAGGAACAGATCTAGGGGATACTGGATATGCCATAAGCACAGCCCCTGTGAGAGGGGAACAGAGCTACATGGCTTTATGATTGAACCATGGATTATGCAACTCAGCTGGCTATTTGTCCAATTCAGATACTTAAGATCTTGAAGAGTTGCTAGATTATTTAAGATTAGTACAGTTAGTGGAGGATTAAAAAGGAGAAAGCTCCTGAAAGCAGGGAGAATGCCAAGCTCCGTTCTGTACAAAATGGCTGAGCACATACATGTTGCATTTAACAACAAGCCCTGTGTTTCACAAGTGAACCTGTGCTTTCCCCCACTATGCTGGGAAGCACTCATTCCTCAGGCCCATGTCCTGCTCACCTCACCAGAAACAGCAGGGCATTTCATCCTCCATGGCACAGATGACCTGTACTCCAGTATCTTTGCTGGGCTGGTACACAGAGCACATCCACATAAGAGCAGCCCACTCATTTAGGGAGACTGTACCTACCAGGACACGGTCAAATGCTGACGGGGTCCCACCACGCTGCACATGGCCAAGGACGGTCACACGTGTGTCAAAGCCTAGGCGCTGGACAACTAGCTGCGCAGGAGAGAAAAGAGCGGTCTGATTAAAGAACAAAGCACTGGCAGAGGCCCAAAACAAACAGGAGAGAGTATCCGAGCTTGCCACCTACATCTTTCACATAGTTGGAGGAGATGGACTTGCCATTCCTATCGATGGCACCTTCAGCAATGATGATGATGTTGAGGCGGGAGCCTCGGCTGCGTGTCTGCCACAAAGAAAAAACATGTGATAAAAACCATGGAGTGTTTTTTATTTTTATTTTTTTTAAAGAAACTGTTATCAAAAGGCTGAATATTTTAAAAATTTGTTGGTTAAATAATATGAAGTTTCTCATTGCAAAAAGAAACCCATTTTAAATGAACTCTAAATTTAATAGAAAACTATCTATAAAAGCCAAAGCTTTTTTTTCTCTTTATAATCTCTTAAAACAGAAAATAAGTTTGTTGCATCTACGAACCTCTATCAAAATCCTTCTGTTACAGGCTGTGTGCTTTTCTATAGAAAGGAGGATTCAACTTTTGAGGTCAAGCTTTATAAGCAGGGCACCATGGATCATGTACAGATTTAGAAGTAAATTATCTAGTAAACAGGCAATATATCATAACCATTTTCTAGCATACTGCAAATACAAAATGACTAAGACCTCTGAAAGCATCAAAATGCCATTGCTTCATTAAGCATTTGTAATTATATCATGGCCTTTCCTAGTAGCAAAAAGACACGCCAAACCCAGTGTCCAGGTTCCACCGAGTTGCAAGCCTATACATTTTATTGGGTGAAACAACCCAGGAAATTGCTCCCATCTTTAGGAAAGAATGGAAACAACCAGTTAGTGATTTAAATTGAGGCTATCTGAAAATTGACACGGAGGTTTTAAATTACCTCGGTTTAAAATCAGTCCTCCCTGATGAAGAGACAAGTCAAGCTTAGCTAGCAGAGTTGGCCAAAGCCAAAAGGGCAGGCAGTGCTCTCTGGGAGGTACTAACATTACAGTGAGCTTGGCCAAGGAACTCCCTGCCTTGCTAGCAACAGCCGGCTCCTTGATAAACAGCTGGAGAGGGTGCACAGAAGCTCTGTATTTCTGTGAATGCAGGAAGCTCTCTTCCGAAATTAAGAGGTCTCCAGCCAGCCACCACAACCTAAGGGCAACCTCTCCCTACTCAGCAATGGGTTTCTGCGGCTTACTTGTAGAGCAGGGTACTAGCTCTTTCTAGAGACCCATGGACTAACCTAGCCCTTAGAACAAAGATAGGCTGTCTAAGCACCCAACAAAGAGGTGGGAGCAAGTAGATGCTGACATGTGTCTGGGCCTCCATGGCTGCCTTCATGGGAGCAAGGTCCAGACCCCAAATTTTTCTGGGCTCTCTCCCGGCACATTGACATGCATTTTCAGTTCAGTTGTGTGTTAAAGAGAGTTGCACTGCCCCCTGGGACCTTCTATCAGGATGAGCACAGACTGTTATACACTGGCTCGTCCAGGAATAGATCCTTAGGTTTTGGCAGGGGCCGGACCCTCAGCTGGTGTGAAGCTGGATGAGTCTGGTGATTTCACTGGAGCAGAACCAATTTGTCAGCTGGGGAACTGGCCCAGGGTGCTCATGTGATGCGAGAGGAAGGCAAAAGGCCAAGCCCCCACCTGCTGGTGGAAAATCCTAAAGGAGGGAAAAATGGAACTGAATTTTCCCTATCAGCTCATTTGGTCATTGTGTCATCTCACCCACAAGAGTCTTGATCACTGAAGCAGATAGACAGCACTATTTGGGCAAGGACTGGCAAAGACAAAAGAGGTGACACCACAGCTGTCAGCCAACACCACAGCTGATCTGTACATCCCATGCAGATTCTTTCCGCACACCTGAACCAGTACTCTAACTCTAAAACATTTGTAGCAGAAGCCTGGTAGGTGTCAAACTATGAATAATAACCAGAGAGATTAGTAATAGTCTCCAGCGGTGAAACTAAAGTTTATTTTGGCTCAAGCGGCAGAACTAAGATCAAGGCAGATCAAAATTCTGGGAGGAGAGAATAGGAAAAAAAAAGGACGATGAAGTGGAAGTGGGGAAGAGTGGCAGCTCCCCCCCTTCAGAAGATAAAATCCTCTTGTGTACGTGATCAGGGAGACATGTCAGTGGAAGGATGCCAGCTGAACCCTCCAGCAATTTGTCTGCTGCTTCACATCAGCCCAGTTAAGCAAGACACCTCTACCCATGAGCTCAGAGAAATAAGTATGTGGCTCCTGATTTACCACTACACTGACTGCTCTCCCCGAGACACACCAAAGATGGAGCACTTGCCTCCCCAAGTCTCTCACACATGAGGTCCTCCCAGCCATCCTCAGGAGGGGACTCAGGGATGAAAAGCCAGTCAGCGCCTGAAGCCAAAGCAGACACCAAGGCAAGGTAGCTAGGGAAGCAGACACAAGTTAGCATCCAGGAACACCCATCCATGACTGACAAGACACAACAGAGGCAAAAAACCATGTCACCAGGGACCAAGTAACTATTAGTACAATGCTGTGTTGAACCAAGTGAACGGCCAGGTGAGCCTGAATATGGCTCGTGCCTACAAACCTATAACTTGGCTAGTAACCCCAGAGGCTCACAGTGCCTTGTCTCTACCGGCCCAATGAACATTTGCTAGAGACTTCCCTCCACGCCTGGGGAAGCTGTGGACAGTCCATCACTGGAGATGTTCAAGGTGAAGCTGGTCAGACTGGCATGGAGGGGTGGGGGTTGCCTTCCTCTGTAGTGTGGGGTATGGCCTCTACCTGGGATCACTGGAGAGTATATTAACAACTTTTTACAGAAGCAGGATGTGGGCTGTCATGGTCCCCTGCTTTACCTGTGTCAGGTTCAGGTGTTATGTCTTGTGCTGTGTCTGGGTTGACAGTAGTTTTACTAAGAGGTTAAATTATGGAGCTGTACAAGTTGGTTTAGATAGGGCTGATCCTGTCTAAGGCATGGGACTGGGTTAGACTGTGACCCATGGAGGTCCCTTCCAGCCCTTCTTCTCTATGATTTTTAACTTGGGTTTTCTCTTCACTGTTATATGGCCCAGGTTCATACACCATACTTATATACCACCCCCCCCCCCGATTCCCCACACCATTTTTACCCACTCAAAGCCCAGTCACATCCCCTTCAGGGGTCTTCTACCCTCCCCTTATAGTCTTTTCCAATGCTCACCCCCTCAATATTGCTTCCCTCCTCAAAAGGACACAGGCCTTTCCTTACCCACAGTGCCTGCCCATCACCTCCAACACAAATGTTCTCTGGTGGCTGCAAAAAAACAAGAGGGGAAGCTGGAGTCAGGCTTTCTGGAGCAGTCTTTACCCTTCGCTAGAAACCTGCTCAGCTATCCAATGCTCCTATGCTCCACCCCCCACTGCAGGTCTGTGCCCCAGACTCAGGGGCTGTGCAGCTACAGGGGCTCCAAATAATTCCTTACCAACTTCTAGCATGGACCCTGCTACACCAGTCATTCCATGACACTGCCATGGGTTCAACTCAGTTTGTCATCTCTAAGAGGGGGCAACTGTAAAAATAAGCCATCTGGGGATTCCCAGCTCACCTCTGGGCTGTGGTAGTGATAGCATCAATCACCTCCATGATGCGGTGTAGTGCCGAGTCTGTGCCGATTGTCATATCTGTGCCACAGAAGTCATTGTCAATGGAGCCCACCAGGCCAACAATGTTTAGCTGACAATACTTCTGAGCTACATCCTCAGTTATTTGACCTGGGGGAAAAATACAGAGAAACGTTTTGTGGGGGCATCGATCAACTACTGAGACTCTCCCACAAAGCAACATTCTGTTGGAGGTATGGTGGGGAGAGGCAAAATGGGCCATACATTGAAAAACAAGCCACTACTTTCAAAAGGCTCTTAAGACTGATCTAGCAACCTCCTCCACCATCCTGAATGGCGCCTCTCAACAGCAGATGCCACTGTCCTGAGCCTTCCAAGCAGCAAGATGGGATCAACCAAAGGACTTCCCATTTACCCAAGAGAAAGCCAAGTCTGATAGGCTGCAGGGTGATTTTTCTGTGAACAGAATTTGCACTTAATTCAACTGCAATTTCTGGTGTTAAACTGGCCCCTTTGAAGAAGCCAATCAAACTGACTTTACTATCATACTTCGGAAGATGCGGCTTTCTTCCAGAACCAAAGGCAGAAACGCATTTCCTAGCTCTGAATCCTGTCTACTCAATTTAAGAGACATCAGAGGTATTTTAGTAGCTTAGGTCCCCATTGAGTCAAGTGCACAAGCATGCTGGACTTCAAGCAAAAAAGGGCAGAGTGAGAGCCAATGATTGTAAGCTGAAGCCAGATAAATTCAGAAGAAATTAGAAAGTTATTGTTCCACTGGTTAAATGACCAAGGGAAGAAGTAGATCTGCCCTCTCTTGCTGTCTTCAGACTAAGACTGGACACTTTTCTGGAAGATCTGTATTAGCCACACACAGGTTATGAGGCTTCACAAGGGGGTAAAATCCTGTCGCCCGAGAGAGACAAGAGGAGATCAGGCAAGGCGGCCTATCGGTCACTTCCAGCCTTCAGGTCTATGAATACCCAAGTTGACTTTCCATGCTTAAACCTGTGCACTGCTGCTCGCAGTTTTATTTCTCCTGTAGATTTGGAGGTGAGGATTATCACAGGGATTAACGTGTGTCCAACACAGCAGACTGCACGTACCATCTTTAACCAGGTCCTCCAGCAGGCTGCCCCACTCCGTCCGGAAAATGTTGGCCCCAGTCAGACTGCCGTCTCCCCCAATGACACACAAGTTGGTGATCCCATGCTGCACCAGGTTGTAAGCAGCCTGGAGGCGCCCCTCTCGCGTGGTGAAAGCCTTGCAGCGGGCACTGCCAATGATTGTGCCGCCCTACAGGTAAACAAAGCATGTGAGAAAGCCAGCCAGTACCATGGGGGAAACCAAAGGGCTGACTGGATGGGGCTGGCTGTTGGGAGCAATCTCTAAAGAGAATCAGGATATGGTAGCACTGGACTGCTACACTTAAGGAATGGACAGGTTTTTTGTGGGCAGAAGGGTGGGTGCAGGAAGCTTATTTCTACCCAGATGTTCCAGAAGGTCAAGATTCCCAGTGTGCAAAGGAGTTGGGAGATTCTCATCAGGGCCCATCATCTGGTCCCCTCATGCTGGCCCTGGCCTATCCAGCTGTCCTAGGACCTGTGTGCTGCAGCAAATGTGAGCCAAGAATATACTACTTTTCAACCTGCCCTTCCCAGAACCACCTGCCTGGAGCCATCCTGGACTTGTTGACAAGATGTCTGAGAGATCTCACCCACAGAGAGCAGCCCCCCATTCCTTCACCACAGCACCATAGCTCTGGCAGGGAAGGGCTGGATTGAGCAGGCATTTCTGAGTCAAATCGTCACGGTCTGCTCTGGCAGAAAATAGGTGGAAAAAAAGTCAGTCTCCCTTAGAAACCTACTGCCAGCCACTTCCATAACTGTGAGCCCTGCATCTGCTGCATAATGCTCTTGATTCTTTCCCTTCTAAGAGGCTGATGGAGAGTGGGGATGACTGAGCTGGCTGGGGCAGGTCTTTCACTGAAAACTCTCGTTGCCAGGTGTCAGACCCATGGCACTCATGGCTTCTTTGCTGCTGCATTAGTGTAATGCATCTCTGACGCACGAAGCCCTATAAAGTGATAACATACCTCCTGTCCGAAAGGCAGCTCGTGTGACCTCCACTCCGCCCCCTTTGCATCATTAAACAGCCTGTCTAACCGCCAGGGCACTCTTGATAAGTTGTTGGTGATAGTGCTGGCAGACATGGAAACATAAGCTCCCTTAGGTGCTCTGCAGTCTGGTTCCTCACCCTATCCTCCAGAGCTTGCCCTGAGCCAACAATGCAGCAGGGGCATTGCCCCTGGTTCACTAGGGGAGGCAGGGCAGCCTGTCAGGAGACCATCTGCCTCTCGCTCATGTAGTGGATTAGTTACCACAGATACCTTAAACATACATGTAAGGCCTAATTACTGCTTTTATCCTCACCAAACTTGCCAGCTTGCTACAGTGACTGGTGGCAGGAGTAAAGAACTGGCCCTGTTCTCTGAATAAACCTCCCCCTGCCCGGCTCCCACCAGGGATTTTTATGGCTAGCAAAGTGCAGATTGGGTGGGGGGGGGGGG